TCTCCTATCAAGGTAATTTTCGACCTCTCACATATTATGGGTCCCTGTCGGGCCACTCAGCCGTAGTCGAGGGGCCTAGCACCTGCATTGTCTTTAGGATAGATTTCTCTTGCCATAGCAGAGAATCCCGTTTGTGTCAACGCTTGCAATCCTGGAATTATTTTATTCGAAGTAGACAACGTCTAGGTATGCCACCACCACAGATGACGGCCGTTTACTCAGCAGAACGTGACCACCAGTAAGTTGGCAGCCTCTAGGCTGCACCTGCCATGTTTCTCAGCGTTCTCAATTATAAGTAAAATTTTTTGTGAAGGGTTCCTTACGAACTGGATCAGTCTGACAAACCGCACCAGACGGTCGTGACTGAGTTTTCTTTTCCTTGTACACACTGGAAGAACTTTTGCGAGGTCTTGTCGCTGATGGCGAGTGTTGGAGTTTTTGAGTAAACTATGCACACATCTCGCAGGATCTCCCAAGGAGAAAAGTAGGTTTGCTAAGCAGGAAAGGTCAACAGGTCAGCCTGGCCATTTCCAATGAGGTGCACACCGTTGTGCGCGTTTTGAGACGGTGAACTCAAATCTGTCTTCAGAATTTGCGGAACGGTTCTCTGAACGGAGTTATGGAGGGTTTTCTCCCTGCGTGGTTGTTTTACATGCTATCGCGAGGAAACGTGCAAGCGTCTTTACATTTATGTATAGAGTCGTACTGAAACGTGGCAGTAGGGCGCAACAGGTAGCGAGCGGGTTTCTTAGGCAAACGTCGTGGGATCGGTTCCCGGCTGGTCGCCGGTTTGCATTTTTCCAAAACATGGCCGACAAAGCTTTAACAGCTCTGCTCGCCTCCACTACCCTGTAAGGGAACCTGCGATCAGATTTTTCAGATGTGTAGACCCATTGTGGCCTGAAAGAGTCCTTGTGCTTGTCCCCCCTCAAAACACATGTCACAATGGTTTTTGCAATGAAATACCATGATATTCATGTTCAGCGGGTCAAATTACCCCTGGGGACAAGTTTCTAGCCAAATCTGATGTTCGACCTCACTTGGGAAATGTGGGCTATTCTATGGGTAATTGGCAGCAGCAGCAGCAGCAGCGGACAGGTCCACCCACCATCGATGACTGGTCTCGAGATGGAATTCTCCTGGTAGTCAGGAAAATGATGAGACGGCACGAGCCAGGTATTGTTCTTGGCGAGAAAGACGATGATTGAAGAGTGTATCTTCAGCTCAAACGACCCAGCCATCACTCGAGTACGGCTAGTCCGCGAGAATTCGCTGTGGCTAACCATTCCTAGGGTCCATGACTAACTGGGCCGTCGATCTTTTTCGAGGACTGTGTCCAACTCACAGATTTTTGCTAACACGGTCGGGACCGCCGGTCTTGGCACGCGGCCCGTCTTTGAGGGTTATCTGACCCTTGAACACGAATATGATACCTATTTCCCGGAAGAAGGAAAACAGTAAAGAAAAGCCTCCATAACTGCGCTCAGAGAATCGTTCCGCAAATTTTGAAGGTAGTTTTGAGTTTGCGTGTGGGCAGTCAAATTGCGAAAATGGCCGGGGCGTGAGGCCTGTTGCCTTTGCTTGGGTAAGGCCGAAAAAAGGTGCTTCAGGGGAGTGAAACCCGCACCTCATGCCTGTTTCCGGGAAGAAATGCGGCTATCTCGTTATCCACCAGGGGCCACCTGGGGCACCGACTTGTTGCCCATTACCTCAGCATTCTTGTGATAGCATGCTGCATCATGATGTTTTGTGAAAGGACTGATGAGGGATAGAGACCTGTAATTTTGAAAAAATACTGCTGATTTTATAATGGAAGTGAAGCTGAAAATCTCTGCATGCAAGAGGGGGACACTTGGTGACCATCTGCGACTTTGATGAAAACACGCTCATTGGACGTGAATGCTAGCACTGTAGAGACTAGTATAAGATGCAAGGTGGTACTGTTGCATGGAGCACTACATAGTCACCGACATGCAACCCGGCGTCATGGGTAAATAGGAGCCCTCTAAAGTATCGAGATGGAAGACTAATAATCTTCCCACCGTTCAGAAAAGCAGGAATGAAGAGAAAATGAAGGCTCACATGAAAGAGGTGAAGAAGGATGACTCAACTAGTTTCTTACTCACCCACACCTCTAGACGAGTTCTCCAAAGAAATAGAAAACGAATTCTAGACTCACAGGCAAATAGAGGAGAAGAAAGGGGAGCTAACTGCCACAAACTCGCAGATAAGAATTAGGGTCTTTGATCCCTGCGTCTTGCTGATCCGTTTGTTGATCCTTATGAAGCTCTTATCCCACCCTTGAACTCGTCATAGACACTTTTCGCAGGCATTCAATGTGCTAAAGTTTGCGTTCCGCGCATTCATGCCACACGGTCCGCGTGGTCAATCCGGTGGACGACCCGATGGACTTCATGGTGATAGACCATGTGACGCATGCGGTTCCCACGACTTTGAGAATGACAAGAACAGAAGAGTACACCTTTCAGGAGGTACGAGATAGGGCTATCGTTCGAAACTCCATGAATAATTTCTAAGTTGTCCCTTCTTGAATTAAGCATTCTCTGAATAATTTTAGTCACTTACAGAACACCGAGAATGAAGCGAGGACGAGATGCGTGGAACCCTTGCCTAGCCCAGGGTTCCACGCATCTTTCGAAACTACTTCATTGTGGGAGTACAGACTTTCTACCTTGTTGCTATTAGACCCTTTTCAAATGCCATCAATTTTCAAAGATTCAATTTGTACGCATCGACATGAAGAAACTGCTCCAATTAAATGCGTAATATTCAATATGGTGGACCTGTAAATGACAAATTGCGTGACGGCGCGTGGACTGGAGCGCAGCCAGGGGCACCAATAAGGGTGTGCCGAGTGTTTGCCAGTTGGCGGAAAAAGTTGTTCTGGCTGCGCTCCGAATCACGTCCTTCACACGCCCTATCGTTTGCAGATTACTAAGCTGCACAAAACACAATACTCTCGCCTTTATTCGTTGTCTACAGTGCAATGTGCCATGTACTCTATTTTGATGGGGTGGACTTAGTGTCGAGAAAAACGATGACCCTCACTGCTTGCACGAGGTCAACTTTGGTGCCTTCTCCGGCCGACCGAGCCTTTGATGCCACTGCAATGGGATCAGATTAAACGTCCAGCGGATTTTCTGAAGTAATGACCTTACAGCAAAAGTTGTATGCTTTACGAGTAAGCACACCACTTTTGCTGTAAGTCAAAATTCAAATGAACCCACGTTCAGTGTCACTTGTTGCTTCAGTCTCTTTCGGAGAGAAATTCCCAGAAGTTACGGATTCTGCTTACCATTTCCCTCTTTTCCTCTGCCTGGGGTGAAGTTATAGCTCCTCGTACAAGCTTGAACTGGTCGAACGGTGCTTATTTCGATTAAATCCGATGAGTATTAAGAAAGTTATGATCGTTTAAAGTGAAACACTCAAAACGCTGAGAACTTTCCGGACAACCTGATATGAGTGGTAGCCAAAATTCTGACCTTAGGTACTCAGTCCCTTCCATTCCAAGTAGGCGAGAGTTTCTCCAACGCCCTTCGATTCCATGTGGTGGCACCCAATGCTGTAGCAGTACAAAGTTTCCAAGAAGGTACGGGCGACGACATGTGAGGAGGATATTCTTCTCGAGTTGCTCGATGTAACCGCCAGCGCTCACCTTCAGTCCGGGTCCACGAAAGAAAATATTGGTCTTTCCATTCCAGGTACGTCCGGTCCATACCATCAACCCGCGCCTTGGCGACTGTGGTGAAGATGATGTCCTAGACCGTAGCGACGTTGTCGGAGCTGCTCGATGTTGGAGGTCATCCAGATCGAGAGTACTGGTCTCCAGGTAGCTATCCATGGGTGACTCCATACTAGAAGTTTCGCAGCTTGGAGGTGACATGAATTCCAAAGGTCTTCTCCAGTCAGGCTGCGACTGGAGATGACTTCATATTTTGGTGTACATGAAGGTGATGGGCGAGAGCCAGCTCCTGCTTATCGAGGAACATCTTGGGTATCTTCCGCCCTGGTACTCGTATCCACGTCCTTCTGTCTGGGCTGCGAACTTTGCTGATATGTGACTCGGATCGAAGTGACTTTTTTGGCCCCCCTGTACACTCCATGTCCCAGATATGGAGAGAGCACGGCTGCGCACCTCAGTTGAAAGTGGTTGTGGCCTTTTATGTGGGATGAATCTTTTACCCGAATATCATCATGTGTTTCTCAAAGATGAAACTGCCTCAGACGGGAATATCTCACGGATACTGCATGGTACGCCATCTTCAGATATAGTGCGCGGTCACACCCATTCATCCGCCGGAATGTGGAGTAAACATTGTGCAATGAACTCGGCTAGATTTCTGAACAACGACTGACGAGGTACATTAGCAACAAGTGGACCGATTATGTCCTACAACGCACTTCATGGACGAAATTTGCATTCACAAAGCCATATTTATTTTTGATCAAGGGATGCGAGGCGCTTCTGAAACGAATCAATAAATGGCCAGTAATTATATCATGTTTCAGTACTTCCGCCCAAAGCACTCATTCAGAACAGGCCTGTAGCAAGAGCGATGGCAAACCCTTCGTGGTTTGACGTGGCCCACAAATGCACTGCGAATGATCCTGAACAGCATGCAATGGAGCAAGCGGCTGCACTTGGCATCGGAAACGCTCGTTCACTAGCTTCTATATTTAGTCTGGTTGGTTTTACGCACACATATTCTTTAGTTTCTTTTCAAAAAATTCTTGAACCTCCACCCGTTAGCGCCCCATCGGACGATTGCTTGAAAAGGCGTGGATTGGAACGCAGTCAGTGCAGCTTTTCACACCAATTGTTGCAGGCTGGCGATTATAACCATTGGTGGAAAAGGCCACCTTTGCTGCATTCCAACCCACGCCCTCTCATACGCCCTTTCGTTTGCGGGGATAAGGACTCTAGAGTAAGCGCCGTGCGTCATAAGGGCTCCCCGAAAACTACTCATCTTTGCACTTGCTGACGCTCCAGTACATCGGTGTTTTCAGCTTGTCAATGGGCGCCTAGTAAGCGAAAGAACTCTTGAATATCTTGAAAGGCCGGTGCTGAACGAAGACGGACTACATACTGAATGTCAATGCGGTTAAAGGACATGGCTTCTCCTACGCTCCTTTGGAAGATTCCGATGTGAGTTAATGAATCTTAGATTTTCAAATGTACTGCAAAATTTCATTGCTAGACTAAATATCAGGGGTTCAGTATTCAAGAGTGCCCAGTGGTCCAAAGACACTGTGCAGAATTCCCAGATGGGCGGGGCTAGGGCACAAGGTCATTGACACGCGCATCCTTCCCGCCTCCCAGGACGGTTTGGAGGACGGAACGCGTCAATGACGTTGTGCCCTTAGCTCCGCCCACCAGGCAATCGCTTACAGCGTTTTTAGAGCTTACCACTCTGCCGCTGTCGTCTGAATCGCTGATTTCCGTAGCCACTGGGGAACCGCATGATCCAACTTCTCGCACAGGATAATTGGCTCCAATTAGAGTGCCCATCTTTTCTAGAAAAGGCCATCCTCTCTCATGTCCGAAGTATGTCCTCTCACTCCTTTACATGCTCCGGCAGTAGCTGTCCTTCATCTGTCCGCATCTCTTGCCGTTGAGAAAATTTTTGCAAAGCACGACCCCTCTCCCCACATCAAAGTTTCTATACCACAATTTCCCTCTCTTACCCCATCCTACCATCTCCCTGAACTTCTCTCTTGAAACTTTTCCGGAGTTTTTTTTTTCAAAAATTCTTTCACTTGTTCCCCTACAAACCAAGGAGTTCTTGGAAGGGGGAGGGGTGAATATTCCACATTAAACGATATAATCAAGGAAAGGCAACAACCAAATTCATTCCTTTCGAAGATAGTTACAACCCCCTTACCCCGCCTCCTCTTCCCCGTTGACCAAGACCCTCCCGCTGGAGGTCCTCAACCTGCCGCCTCCCTAACACCCCCTTTTCGTGGTGGGACCATGACAAAGTTATGGTCTGTTGCGTAACACCCAAGGTATCTTTTTAAAAAATTGAGATTCTGGAAAATTTTCTTTGGCTCAGGGTGGGCATTCTGCACTTACCTGGAAAGGATGTTTGGTCGAAGTGGCCGTTCGAGATGAGATGTATACCATCTGATGCCTTTTTGGAAGCTGATTACAAATCTGCATTCCATATCTGCTAAACGATTCTCTGAGCAGAGTTGTGCAGGTTTTTGACCTGGTCACCCCTATTTTCATCATGTATGTAAGGCACAAGAAAGCACAAGACCCCCCCCCCAAATTCGCACAAATTCCGAACCAAAGGTTGCCTAGGACATCAAGAAGTGACACTACACTCATTTCTCATGGGAATATCGTGTTCGCATTCCGCATCCCCCGTCTATTTGAGCGACTGTGACGCTAGAGAGGACGAATTTGTGGAGGAGCCCGTAGCGCACGACGCAAGCGTTTTTGCGCTGAATGAGTGTGATATTCGTGTTCTGGGGATCAAATTAGCCATAGGGGCAAGTTTTTAGCAAAGTCTGAGATTTTGACCAAAATTCGAAACAGTGGGGTAACCATGGGCAATACATCCCTTAAGGCCGCGGGCACTATCCTCGACTAGAATCCCAGTGGGCATTGGAGTATTTTCGCTAAATTTCAAACCTCATTGGTAACAGACGGTCCTGATCACAAGTATGACAATCACTTTTGGCGGCCGGCCATTTGGCGCCAGTTTGGCGACACAGCATAACGTAACGAATGATGGCACCGGAACGGAACGAATGAGGGCATTCAGGGGTGCTCCTCAAAACTCTTCCAGAATGGCCCCATTCCTTCAGAAGTAACATTTTTCGGCAGGATTAGGTCTCCTGGCTACGTAAGAATGGTTTTAAAAACTGTAGGGAACATTTTCAAAAAAATGCAAAACAACATTCTAACCAAGGATTCGAACCATTGACCGCACAAACATGAGACCGACCGCTTACCCACTAGGTCATCGCAACACGTTTACTGCGCCGTGCCCATTGGTATACAAATACTACACTACTCCTAGGGGTCAGCCATACAAACCTCCATAACTTTGTTCGGAGAATCTTAGCAGATTTGGAAAGCAGATTCGAAATCACTGTCCAAAGACGCGTCGGTCGGTATACATCTCATTTCAAATGGCCACTTCGACCTACCATCCTTTCCTGGTTAGACTATTTCCTCCAAAGTGGTTCATGTATGGCTTGCTCATGCTCACTTTGGTGAGACCTGTGAGCTCTCCTGAGGCTGCGAAATGGTTCAAGGGGCCTTTGGGCACAGGGAACTGCAGATCTTCCCGAAACCTCTACAAACTTCGCTGAGTATCATTTCCTTTTTTCGAACTGCGCCCTAGTCTCTACAGCTGTAGATGTAAATAGACGCAGTTCGGCGAATGGGGGGAGGCATTTTGCACTCCGAGCCATCTAGAGAGCTCTTTCATGAGCAAGACAAGAGTTGACGGGTTTCACCATGGTGGCTAGACGAGCTTGCTCCAGCTTCACAAGAGTTCACAGGTTTCACCAGAGCGGAACTTGTGAACCGGAACTAGTAAAGCAGTGAAGGTACAAAATGCCTCCCCCCTCCGTCGCCGAACAGCGCATGTAAAATGTTCTGGACACTATAAACCATCTTCAAAAACCTAGAAAGACGAAAGAAAGAAGCAGAAGAAAGATCAATAGTTGTGATACGCAGAAGCATCTGATGATCGGTCATTTTGGAGATGGATGTCAGCAAGTGATATTTGATAGAAAGCGCAAAATTGCCTTTGCCTATGTGACAAACGGACTGAAAGCGGGTGTATTTGATATCTGCCGTAACTACATGCGGATGCAGAATGCTCACTATATCGCGAAATAGGGAGGGCGTAGCTGCGCACTTCAATTGATCATGGCTTCGAATGCGTTTCGCGTGAATTCTCAATCGTCTGCCGAGGTGCGCATTCCTTGCAGGTTGAAACTTTTGCTTGGGTTAGGAGGGGAAAGGATAAACGATGTTGAGCGCATAGGCTGACGCTTGTCCCCTGAATGGAACATGGATTAAGTAAAATCAAGTACATCCTTGTTCACCACGGGCAAAGCGGCTTGTCAAGGGGGTTGGGCCTGGCGCAACGTCAATCCGTTTTTTTTTGGTCAAGTTACAAGGCCATATCAGATTCGTATCAGTCGTTTTTTATTAAATGATCTTATCCTTCAGAATCCGATGGAAAACGAGCTAGCAGCGCGCCAAACCCCAAACTCACGCCCCATCATTCGCAGCAGACAAGACTGCACGTGTCCCATTCCGAAAATTCAACGAAGCAGGGTGCTGGGTGCATAACCATATGCAGTGTATGAGAAAAACAGTATAATTACAATGAAGGTTTCTCAAGAAACGCGTAGAACTCTGCATCACTCATTCTCGAAAATCTGCAAATAAACGATCTTAGATAGAATTTTTGGGATGCAGTGCGCCGCGCAAGGGCTGGGGCGTACGATCACCGCCAACGTCATTGGTAAGAGGGCTGAGAGGGGTGTAGCCAAACCCCCTGTCGCAGCCCCTCCACCAATCACGTTGACAGTAATCGCCTGACCAATCGTCGTGCCCCTACCTCTAACTAAGAGCTGTATATCGAAGCTCTTCGACCTGGTTTGTTCCAGTTGCCGCCATTTCCGAAAACGTCTGGTCCTGGTCTGTTGCCTCTGTTGCCACCGTTTCCGAAACCAGGTCGCCATTCGGTCCTCCACCAAAAGGTCCACCAGGTCCTCCGGGTTCACCAAGAAGGTCCACCAGATCCTCCAGGTCCTGGACCAAATGGACTATGTGGGCCATGCGGACCATGCGGACCATGTGGCATGAATTGCCCGAATATAAACTTCAGCACATGGAATGCCTGTGAAAGTGTACTTGAGAAGTAAGGGGATAACCGTGGTAATGGCCAGAATTTGAGCTTCAGTATTCATAAACCTTCTCACCTCAGGATTTTTAGCAGTCAGTTCCCTTCTCTTTTGCTTTTGTTGCTGTCGAGTCAGCGTTTCGTCTTCCATTATCGTGGAAAACGCTTTGAATGCTGTAGGTAAGTAAGCAATTAGCTCGGTAACATTCTTATTCACTTCCTTCATGGGGTCCTCCATTTTCTTTGTCGAACTCTTCGACTTGATCCTGAAGAGTCACGAGTGGTGATGAATCCCTCATGACAATTTGGCAGGTCCTTCAATCTTACAAGTTTTCGCCCATTCCTCAATTTTCTCCTTCTGTTCGGCGATCGTCAAATTCTCGTTGCGCATGATTTCGAAATATTCTCGTACAGCATCTTCGGTAACATTTCTAAGATATGGTGGAGGTGGAGGTCCGTGGTGGTGATGGTGGTGGTGTGGTGGCCACCTAGCAGGATGAAATGCCATC